CAGAGGAAAGTGGGGCAAGAGAGCTATTAGCCAAAGAAAGGCGTGTTTCAGGTTAGGACATCTTCTTTGGGAAGCAAGTGCACAGCAAGATTTGTATCATGCAGACTACCTCACTGCTGATCAGAACATTTCAGTTTGACTTTTAGAAGGTCACATTCTGGGGTGCCTGGGTGGCTCAGTCGGTTAACCATTTGCCTTCAGCCCAGGTCATGATCCCACGTCCAGCACCCCGTCCAGCCCCACGTCCAGCCCCATGTCCAGCCCCACGTCCAGTCCCACGTCCAGCCCCATGTCCAGCCCCACGTTGGGCTCCCCACTATCAGGCTCCCAGCTCTGCGGGGGAAACTGTTTCTCCCTCTCTATCTGCCTGCCACTCCTTCTGCTTGTGCTCTGTCTCTGTGTCAAATAAATAAAATCTTTTATAAAAATAAAAGGTCACATTCCTGGGATAGGTGGAAACTGTAATTAAGTCTTGGTTTGCTGTCATGGGGATTGGAGAGCCAAATGATTCCATTTGGGGCTTGTTGTTTCTTTTTTTTTTTAACATCCCCAGAAGATGTCCCTGTCTTAAGTCCCAGAACTGGTGACTTTCTTGCCTTACACAGCAAGAAAGACTGCAGATGTGATTAATGATTTTGAGCTGGGAAATTATCCTAATTATCAAGTGGGTTCAAAATAATCACAATGAAGTAAAAGTAAAAGAGGGAGTAAAAGAGGGAGGCAGGAGAGAAATCAGAGATGTGATGACTGAAGCTGTCTGGGAGCCACAAACCAATGGATGTGGGCAGCCTCTAGACGCTGGAAAAGGCAAAGAAACGGATTCTCCTTCTGTAGCCTCCAAAAGTAAGTAGAGCTGCCATCACCTTGATTTTAGTCCCACAGGATTCCTTTCTGACTTCTGACCTCTGGAACTGTAAGACAATAAACTTGTATGTTTTAAGCCACTAAATTCGTGGTAATTTGTTACTTACAGCAGCAATAGGAAACTAACACACATTGATGTAGGAAAGACATAAGGGTGTGAAGCCGATGGCCAAGAAAGAATTCTTGCGAGGTCTTGGGTGCAAAAAGGTGGTTTTACTAAAGCACAGGGACAGGACCCGTGGGCAGAGAGAGCTGCACCAGGGTCATGAGGAGTGGCCCATTTTACACTTTCAAGTTGGGAGGGGTTAGGGATAGCGTAAGTCTTTAAGGAATTTTGGAAACAAGGTTCCCAGAACCTTGAGGGGGCTAGCTGTTGTTGGGAAAAAGTGACTTATTACCATTTAATAAAACCTTAGTCATGAGACCCTTCAGAGGTATATTGGTGGGTCATATGCTTGGAGGATGATTGCTAAGAGACATCTTGGGAGGTAGGGATAAAGGAAGTTTTCAAAGAATTTTTATACGTTAAAGTAGACTTACAGGATCCTGGGAGTCGGGCTAAGATTGCCTTTTGCCCTTAGCAAAGTATTAACCCTGAAGCATCTGGGTTCTGGGAAGAATGTCACTCTGCTTGTTTCAAGGACTTGTCAATGGGCTATAAGTAGTAAGGAAATTTAATCATTTTTTTCCACCTCTGTTTACCACACCACACATGATGTCCGACATTCAGATCCCTCCACTACACAGGGGCCCGAATTCATGCAGCAATTCTTGGTAATGCAATCCCTTTACCAAGTGGTGGGAGGTTCTGGCTACAAATAACATGTATGAAGAGCACGTGAGTGGCTCCGTGGTTGAGTGTCTGCCTTCGGCTCAGGTTATAATTCTGGGGTCCTGGGATTGAGTCACACCTCAGGCTCCCCACAGGGAGCCTGCTTCTCCCTCTGCCTGTGTCTCTGTCTCTCTCTCTGTGTGTCTTTCATGAATAAATAAATAAAATATTAAAAAAAAAAAAAAGAGCTGTTGCTACTGGCCCTGAGGTTCTAAGCACCAGCCTCACAGGGCACATAGACCTCACTGTCTTCAAAAGTTTCTTCTGTGTTCTCTTTATAGCACTTGAGCATCTTAAATGTATTACCTCATTACCTATTGAGCACCCACTATATTCCAGGTTCCAGAAATTCAAAGATTGAGCAGAACTCAGATCCTTAAGGAACTTAGAGCCTAGCCGGGTAGCAGAACACGTAAACTATTACAATACAACAAGATATGTGCAAAGACAAAAATATCTTCAAGAGAAGAATCCTAGTGTATGAAAAATATCAATTCTGCCTGTGGGTGGTGGTGGCAGCGGGTGGGGTGAGGGGGCTTGATGAGAGTTTGACGTCATAGCTGGGGGTGACTAACATCTTTAGAGTCCCTAGTTTTGAGGGGAGACGTTTTGACACCTAATCTAGATCCCTGTGTCCCCAGCCAGACCTGGTCTCTGTCAGGATTGTAGCCTCTATGGAATCTCTCTGGTTCAAATTTCAAGGCTGAGGAGGGAGGGAGACCCCGAGAGAAAGAGTCCAGGAAGGAAGCGTTCTTCATACTCAGAGCGAATGTTTGGAGCACTGGAGATCCATTCTCCATGATTTCCGTGAAACTTCAAGAGAGATAAAGAAAGCAAAAAGGATGTGTAGGCATTCAGAATAAGTAGCCCCAAGATGTGCCACTTTGGCATGCAGATTATTTTAGGCTAAAAATAATCAAGGCCCCAAAAGACTCAGGAAGAAATTCTGAGCTTCCCCTCTAACTGCCTAAAGGAATTTAAATAGGGGACTTACTCAAGGAACAGAGCCATCACAACAGAGAACTAGCTTAAAATATGAACTAGGTATGGTAGATAGAAAACTAGCAAGGCATATTCGATCAAAGCCCTCTCTATGTCCCATTGTTTCTGGATGGCCTGGCAAACATATATATATATATTTTTTTTTAACTCTTTCCTTTTTTCCTGTGAATTGTCTTCCTTCCCTTTGAAGCCCCAGACTCCTACCCCTTCTCCTCAATTTAGGATGACATTTTGGGACACCTGGCTAGCTCAGTTGACAGAACATGTGACTCAGTCTCAGAGTTATGAGTTCAAGCCCCACATTGGGGTAGAGCTTATTTAAAATATATATTTCATTCCTGACTTGCTTTTGGAACCTCATATTTATTTGGATTCCCCCATACACAAAATGAAATTTGACTTTCCTCTCTGTTAACCTGTCACTTATCAGTCTGATTGTAGACCAGCCAAAAGATCTTGAAAGGCAAAGGAAAGTGTTTCTTCCCCCAATGGTTTCATGAATTGTCAAGTACCAGCTCAATATAAAGTACTTTTATCCACTTGCTTGGGACTCATGCTTATGCACTGGGAAATTTCATCTCTAAACTAAGTCGATCTTTCCGTTAAGAAAATACACACAAGTGGCATGTGGCTCAGTGGTTGAGCATCTGCCTTTGGCTCAGGTCATGATCCTGGGGTCCCGAGATCGAGTCCTGCAACCGGCTCCCCGCAGGGCTCCTGCTTCTCCCTCCGCCTATGACTCTGCCTCTCTCTCTCTGTCTCTCATGAATAAAATATTTAAAAAAAGAAAAGAAAATACACACAGGCTGTGGACATTAAGCCAGGTCTATGTTTGCTGGGCAATACCTAACATGGTACATTTAAAATACATTAAATTTTGGACACAAGGTTTTATCACACAACTAGGGCATAACCCCTTCTCTCTCTAATATTCCATCCCTCAATTTACTTAATCCTGAGAACATATATATACAATTTCCTGAGAAACAGTGGTATGGTAGGAAACTGAATTTTAAATCTGGAAAGGACTTTAAAGATATTTTAATAAGAGCTGTTTTACAGATGTCGGCAATGTTGAAAGCCCTTCAAAGTTATAGGGATAGGGGCAGTACCAAGGTTAATACCCAAGTCTCTCAATTCCCAGCCCAAAGTTCTTGCTCATGAGCTGCACATCTGGCTTAGTTTGTGGCAAGGTTTATCTGCACTTACTATTTTGCTCCCAGCAGTCTTAGGCAATAACAATTGTGCTTTTTTAGTGCAAGTCTTTTTCACAAAATAAGTTTAACTATTGATCAGAGCTTTAAATTTATTTTACCAATTTTACAAATGAGGAAAGAGAGAAATAGTAAACGTTCGGGAGTAAAGGTAGCATAAATCAACCCAAAATAATAAAACACTTTATTAGATCTCCTTTCGTTATAGATAAGTGTTTCAGTTATCATTTTTCATATAAACTCATGAAGCAGTAAATATCTGTGAAAATTTTCATCGAAAATGTCAACGATTTTTTTTTCTATGATAAACAGGATACATGTCTAAGTACAAAAAAAGGTTTAGTTAGAGAAGAGCCTTGGCTCAGTTATGCAGGCTTTGCCAGAAGAGGTTGTGATTGCCAAGAAGGAGGACTCTCTCTACCCTTGGGTCCATTTATTTGATATCAGCTGTCACAGCTGGGGTTTCAAGAAGAAAAGAGAGAGTGCATCCGCATCCTATGAAGTCTAAGATACAAAAGGATATGACCAAGGGATGCTGCTACCCAATTTCCCCCTGTTGTTACTATGCCAACCACAGACTTTGGGAAAGGGATTTTACGCTTCTGTTTATCATTTTGCTTTTGCTGAGTAATTCAGTCAACTGGGGTAACCCCCTATAGTATTTATTTTCATCTAACTGGAGGAAGGAAATCTAAACAATTCACACCACGTCTTATGTGTTTTCAAAAAAAAAAAAAAAAACCCTCAAAACGTTGGAATCCAGCCCCTTTCGGTGGAAACCACAGGGGACCCAAGGAAAGACACCTTGGCGCCCCAGGCCGGGAGCAGCGCCCTCGGGGAGGCAGAGTGAAAGCGCCGCCCCGCTCCGCCCCCCCGCCCCCCCCCCCCCGGCCGGCCGACGAGCGGCGCCCCGGGGCTGGAGGCGGCTCTGCAGGCCCCTGGGCTCCAGCCACCGCCGCGCAGCCGCCAGGCCTGCTGGGCGCGCGCGCCGGGGTCAGGCCGAGGACGCGGGCGGGGCGGGGCGGCGGAAGGGCCGGCTCGGGGCGTGCCCACGTGACCGCCCCGCCCGCTGCCTGCAGCCCCCCGGCCGCCGCCGCCGCCGCCTCTGCCTCTGCCTCTCGGGCTGCAGCTCCCGGCGTGCCCCGCACTCGCCGCTGCCCGCCCGCCAGCCCCTCCCTCTCTTCCCACCAGTGCCACAGAGCGGAGCCCGAGCCGCCGCCGCCGCCGCAGCCACAGCCGCGGGCACTATGGTAAGGCGGGCGCGCCGCCCCGGGGGACCGAGGGCCGGGACGCGTCAAGCAAAAACCCCCGCGCGGTCCTTCAGGGCCCTGGGAGTGAGGCCGCCATTTTAGCCCGATTTGGGCCTTCAAGGCGGGGGGCTGCTGCGCTGCGGCCCCGCTGCTCTCCCTCTCCAGCCGGCCGGCCTACCCTCTCGCCGTCAGGCCAGGCCCTGCCGCTCTTCGGATTCCTGAGGGCGAGGAGGGCGCGGGCCGGGGCTGGGGCCTGAGCCGGGCAGCGGCGTCTGGAGAGGTCGGGCGTGCCGAGCGGCGGCCCGCGGCGCGGGAGGGTCTGCGGGGCTCGTCCTGGGCGCGCTGCGCTCGCGCGGGGCTTCCTTATTTTACTGGGCGCTCGCCTCAAATTGGTACGTGCTCTAAAGAGCCCTTGCCGGATGAAGGCTTTCTGTGAAGGATCTTGCTGGCCCTGTAATAAAACCCCTAAGAGGAGATTAAGGAGGTGAGAGAACGCTTTTTAAAATGCCTTTTCGCCGTAAAAAGCTTTTACACTAGCTCCGTTAGTTTTGAAGTGTCTGCATTTGAGCTGTGAGGCAATTATGTTGTAGCCGTGGGCGGTTTGGAGTTCACACTTGATTCTCTTTCCTTATGAGGAAACGGCACTGGCTAGGATGACTTTAAAGAAAAAAAAAATAGTAGAAGCTTTAACTGAAATCCAAAAGTGTTTTTTTAAGGCCAGCAGAGTTGACACAATACAGAAGGTATTTTTGCTGCTGCTCCTGAAGCTCTGACATCACCCAGTGAAATAGGAAACATTTCAGGGATGGGACAGCTTGTATTTGTCCCTTTCCCTCTACCTTCCATTTACTTCAACCTCCAAATCCCTTTAAAAAGGATGAATGGGGCAGGACGAGTTAGAATCCTTCGGTTCATCTCATATACTGATACTTAAAATGTGGCATCTCTGATTGGACTGCTTGCCTGGTAGGATGCAGTTTTTGATGTCCAGATTAAAGTGAATCCTCTCTAGGCAAACAGTAATTTTGGTTAAAACCAAAATACTTGTTCTGAATTACTGTTCTTTTTTTATTTCAGGCTTCTGGAGTTACAGTGAATGATGAAGTCATCAAAGTTTTTAATGATATGAAAGTAAGGAAATCTTCTACACAAGAGGAGATCAAAAAAAGAAAGAAAGCAGTTCTCTTCTGTTTAAGCGATGACAAAAGACAAATAATTGTAGAGGAAGCAAAACAGATCTTGGTGGGTGACATTGGTGATACTGTAGAGGACCCCTACACATCTTTTGTGAAGTTGCTACCTCTGAATGATTGCCGATATGCTTTGTACGATGCCACATACGAAACAAAAGAGTCTAAGAAAGAAGACCTAGTATTTATATTCTGGTGTGTAAAAACAAAAGAAAAAGTACTTTTAAAATGCAAGGATTGTTATTAACATAGTCAGTTTTGCCTTTGTTTTCCTTTTAAGTGGGATTCAACAATTGTTTCTTTTTTCTGTAGGGCTCCTGAAAGTGCACCTTTAAAAAGCAAGATGATTTATGCTAGCTCTAAAGATGCCATTAAAAAGAAATTTACAGGTACAAACATTAAAAATTTGTGTAGAGGAATTATTCTTTCTTAATTATAATAAGGTAATGAGATAATGTTTTTCCTTTTTAGGTATTAAACATGAGTGGCAAGTAAATGGCTTGGATGATATAAAGGACCGTTCGACACTTGGAGAGAAATTGGGAGGCAACGTAGTAGTTTCACTTGAAGGAAAACCCTTATAAAATGAGATTCAAGTGCCATCTGGATCTTAAGGAGCTTCCATTTCTCCAACTCAATCAATTGAAATAGTATTAGGTGGTGTTTCCCCCCCCCCCCTTCCCACTGGGTCCTTCCAATACAGTGAATGAAGGAAATATCATTCATGTAAGCAGCCTATCAGTGATTGCCATTAGACTGTTTAATACTGTTACTTTTATGTAGAACCCAAGGAATGCCTTCCCATCATATTTTAGCCAAAACAACTCGTTATATGCCTCCTTTGCAGCAAGCACTACAATGAAAGTGATTGTCAATGTGAATAGCTTAGAATACTGCAAAGGGTAAGCTGATTGAATGCCTTGAAAGTATTATCCACTGGTCAGATGGTAAACTTTATTCAGTATTATTTATAGTTGCACTTGATTGCAGTTCTGTGAGGCTCGAGCATTCATACACCTCACCTGCCTTGGCAAGCCTATTTTTGTGACATGGCAGCACAGATTTAACACTATGCATTGAAAGCACTTTTTTTGTAATGAGTTTAACCTCCCACCCCCCCAAAAGGAATGCCAATTAAGTTTTGTTAACTGTGTCATCAACTTATCCTAGTACCTCAGTATTCATTCCTGTTACCTGCATATCTTAAAAGAAATAGCTGTTACTAATGCCTTTTTGTTTTCTATTGAGTGTACACTACTGAATAAGTGTAGGAGTTTATGTTTACCATGTAAGTTTTGCAACACTAAAAATATTTTGAATATCAGTCATGATGGCAATTTCTGTATAAAAGAGCCTTAAATGGAACATTGTTTTTGAGATCAAACTCCCTACCCTCACAAAAATGGCCACGTTGCAATAAAAATTGTGGCATATTACAGAACGTTGCCTTGTTTTCCTTGGACATTTTGCAAAATGTTACGTGAAGCAACTTTTAGGGTAAACAGCTACTGTTAATCTTTGCACTGGTCATTTAAGATTTTTTTTGTACAACATTCATGCATGATATTTTCCAGTTTGTTGAGTTTAAAAAATATTCTATCCTAAAGCCAACTAATAGAAAATATTATTGTTATAGCGGGATACTTTTATAAGCATTAGTTTATTTATTTCCTTATATGTTAATATGAAGATCAGAAGTTATTTTTTGCACTTTGAAAAATATTCTTCAATACCAGATTTATTCTCTGGATAAATTAGGGTAGTTGTTTTTTAATTCACGTTTACATTTCTAAGTAAATGACTAGTAGAAGCAGGAAGCTCTTACTACATATTTGGTCATAATGAAAACTTATAAAATGTCCTTCAAAGGTTAATACTTCTCATGTTTAGGAACTTTAATTTCAGCTATTATTTCTTAATATATTTTGCAAATTGGAAAAAATAATGATGCAGCAGTCTTAAGCATTAGTAGTGGGATTTGGCTGTGGTCCAGAGTGCTCTCCTTATAGAGAATTTGATCTGCTCAGTGTGAGCAGTTTGCTGTTAGCCAGAGCTATTTATGGCAAACACATGCTTTTGTATCTTGTCATAGTTATCCACAAATGGCAAAACTGGACTTGATTCTACTGGTATGCAAAACAGGCATGCTAGTAAGCAGTCAATCGTGGCTTAGAACTTAACCCCGTAGCTCTGAAGAATGCTCTTTTTTTTTTTTTTTAAGAATGCTCTTATCAAAAAACAGGAAACAAACTCTCCCCCTTTTTTTAATGTGTGGAAGTAATTTAAGTATAATTAGATATTTTCCCATATTTTCAGAATATTTTTTCAAGTAAAAACAAAAATAGGATTTAAATGTCTAGGCTTCCATTTAAAATTATATGAATGGCTTGGGGTCTTTTGTACTGAGCCATCTTATTTCAGGCTTCCAGCTGTCCCTGTGAAATATGCTGGACATTTTGATGGCTTTTTGGTAAGGCTAAACTCATACTGACATACACTAAACCATATGTGTAACTGATTCTTATACCGTGAAATTTTTCATTATTTCCCTCATTCGTCTAAAAAATAAGGGACTCTAAATAAGTTATGTAGTATCTTTTGTTTTTATAGCTGATTTATCAGCTTTCTTATATGCCTCATAAATAATAATTTCAGAAATTAAATATTGCTTTAAACTGTGGTACTTTGTTCGATTGACGGAACTGATACTAAGTTCATCTTTGAAATACATTTTTGTGCATGAAGCCAAAAATAATGATAAAATTAATGATTCACATGTTACTTGAGACTAATTTGGCATTTGAAATGATCATTTTATTTTACAATCATTTACAATGAAACAATGTTCCAGTTAGCTTTAAAAAGTATACGGTGCTAATTAGTAAAATATTGAGGGCAATATTTTACTGCTAGCTTGCAAAATTATAAGTGTTTAAAAAAATAAAATGTATGAAAATATATAAAGCTGTTGAGATGTGTTTCCTTACACATAAGAACATTAGAAATTTCAAAACTAATGTTGCAGATCAAGGAGGCACCATTATCTTTAGTCTTTTTCAGGATTTTTGTTGATAAACTTTCTCATTTACAGGTATCAATATTCTTTGAAAACTTAATGCTATAGCAATTAATTTTAACATTTTCAGACAAATGGGAACAGTTGGCATTTGTCCCAAACTGGCTATCATCAACTGTTGTTTTCAGTCATTATCTAAAATAATGAGGCCAGCATTGTATATTTAATGTGCCTTTTTAGTAGATTGGAAGAAAGGCTTCTTTGAGTTTTTCTGATACAGATCCCTTGTAGGAGCTAATTGATGAAATCTAGCAAATGAGGTTTGGGAGAAAATTAAGTACCTTATTAAGGAATAATCTCAGCAAAGGTTAATCATAGAAGGATTGGGAACACCCTTCATTAGGTTTGCCGCTCAAAAAATCTGATTCTGCTCTTTATAGGTCCTATTTTTGGTAGTAAATTTAATGATACTTTGAGATCCAAACAAACATGCATATTAATTTTTCATGAATATTAAAATTGTTAGAGATGTGCTAGCAGGCTCCAGTGATGATTGCTTTTTCAGACAGCTTGAATTTATGGATGTTCCGTGTTCATCTCAGCCAGTAAAGAAGTCTGAGCCTTTTCTTTTGCTTTGGAACATCCAAATTGCTTTTTTCCTTGTAGAATTGGGAGTCATTCCTCCACTTCAATTTCCTGTCATAAAGCAGTTGGGTAAATTATTCTTTTTGAGCCTTATGATAATAACTATCATTCCTCATTACAGAGGATCAACTATGGAAATGACTTTTGGAAAACAAGAAAATGCTATATAAATGTAATAATTTAGTTAAACCATTCTAAATGTAGTTAAGTAGACAACCATGTTTAAGATAAGATTATTAGAAGATTATTATAATCTTAAGATTTATTATAAGTCTTTGAACAGCTTCATTTTTGTAATTATTCCACTTAATCTTACTTCCAGTGTAAGAATTAGCTGGCACGTGACATTGGTTTTTCAGAAAGTAGCAAAGCATAGCTGCTGAGTTGATGTTTGTGACTGCTCTTAATTTTTTAAGTGTAGTTTTCTTTTTCACATACAACCAATTACTAGTCTTTTCCCCCAAATAATTTTGAATTAAAGAGGAAATAAAGCTAGAGAAATAATTGGTATGGAATACTTGTCATGAGTCATGATCCAGGTTGTTGAAAACCTATGCCTGCTTATCATTATTAATATCCTTTTTTTTTTTTTTCATTATTTCTCTGCTACACACAAAGAAACTAAAGTCTGGAGAGGTTAAGAGACAGCTCAGTTACTGAGTAGCAAAGCTGATTCCTGTCCAGTATACTTTTCACTCTGCATTTATATAATGGAGAGCGAGTTACTAATTTACTTTTTTTTAAAGTGGACTAATCTGATTTTTTTTTAGCAGGATATAATTACTCAGTATATTTTCAAAGTAGTGTCTCAAGAATATTTGAAAAATAGTCTTGGGATTTTTGTCTCCTAAGGAAGCCCATGGTCATAAAAGCCTAAAATAATTTTACATTTCAAAGATTTTCTTAGATGTTTCGGTATTGTAGGTTTATGAGATTATGGAAACCCATAAGGATTCTATAGACCCATTTTCCAGAAAGCTGATACCTCTTGTTTTTTTTTTAGAAAAAAATTGTTTTAAAGATTTTAAGTAATCTCTACACCCAACATGGGACTCAGACTCGCAACCCTGAATTCAAGAATCACATGCTCTACTGGACATAGCCAGCCAGGCCCCCAAGGCTGATACCTCATTCTTTTTCCAAAAACTTGGATGTCTCCCTCCCTATGCTCCTTTAGTCATCTTTCAAAGGAGAAATAGTACTTTGTATTAAAGTGGTTAAGTATTAGAACTTTGTTATCAGATTGCTTGGGTTGTTCACATATCAGCCTTTAACACTTATCGAGTAACCTTAAAAAAATCAACCTCTTGGAGCCTTAGTTCATGTATAAAAGGAGATAGTGATTGTACCCTGTCTCATAGAATTTGAGGATTAATGAAAACACCTTGAGTAGTTACTGGCACATAGCGCTCTATAGGGACACCTGGGTGGCTCAGTGGTTGAGTGTCTGCCTTTGGCTCAGGTTATGATCCTGGGGTCCTGGTATCAAGTCCCACATCAGGCTCCCCAGAGGGAGCCTGCTTCTCCCTCTGCCTAGACCTCTGCCTCTCTCTGTGTCTCTCATGAATATATAAATAATTCTTTTTTTTTAATTTGCAATCCAAACCAGGACTTTTTTTTTAGAACAAAAGGGAGAGTTTTAATAATTATCCCAGGACAACAGGCTTAAGTTGTAACAGTTCCCAGCAAACCAGATGTAGTCATACTACCAAAAAGTAGGCTGGTGTCAAAATGTAATACTTAAATAGAAGAAACTATATAAAAGACTCAAAGTTATTAATTTCAACTTTATAAGGTACTAGTATGCTAAGATTCTCTTGAAGTACATGATTACTTTTAAGTAATTGGCCTCAGAACAGTCAACTTTGGATTTTTTAATGCAAATCTTTTTGTAGCTTTCCTTTTTTTTTTTTTTTTTTTTTAATCAGAGTGAGAGAAGATGGGAAGGGGTAAAGGAAGAAGGAGAGAGAAAATCATAAGCGGGCTCTACACCCACCACAGAGCCCATTGCCAGGGCTTGATCTCACCCTGAGATCATGACCTGAGCCAAAATCAAGAGTCAGACACTTAACCGACTTAGCCACCCAGGTGCCACTTTAGCTTTCCTTTTGACTTTTTACAAACTCTTAGATACTGCATTTTACTATTAACTGTCTATTTATAGCAGTTTCTCTTAATTGTTGCTTTTCATCTCATGTGGACTTGGAAAGCCAGGTTGTTTAGAATTGTGTATATAAAGTGAATAGACTTGGGCTTGAGAGCAAAATACCTGAGCACATGAACCTCCTAACATTTCTTTTGGCTATTTAAAAGAACTTTGGTGTACTTTCTGGGTTCTTGGTTTTTGGATTTTTAGTAAGTATGTAAGATAGCTGAGCTGTAGATAAAAGAAGCATTGCTGTATCCCTGCAAGGTGTCTAAAATATTTTATTAAAAATATTTAATATAAATATTTTTATTTATAAAAATTTTTAATATTTTTTTAGGGCAGCCTGGGTGGCTCAGCGGTTTAGTGCCGCCTTTGGCCCAGGGTGTGATCCTGGAGACCTGAGATTGAGTCCCACGTCAGGCTTCCTGAGTGGAGCCTACTTCTCCCTCTGCTTATGTCTGTGCCTCTCCTTCTGTCTCTAATGAATAAATAAAATCTTTAAAAAAATATTAAAGATTTATTTATTTGAGAGAGAGCACAAGTGGGAGGGGAGAGAGAGAGAGAGCACTAGCAATGAGGATTGAGAGAGAATCACTAAGCACAGAACCCGATGCAGGGCTCTATCTCATAACTCTGAGATCATGACCTGATCATGATCAGGGCCAAAACCAAGAGTTAGATGCTTAATGGACTGTACCACCAGGCACCCCTGTCATTAATATTTTAATTTTTTTATTTTAAATTCAATTAGCCAACATATATCATTATGTTTCAAACGTAGTGTTCCATAATTTAGCAGTTGTGTATTGTCATTAATATTTTAAAGTTATTTTTGTCTTTGGCAATACTTGTATTGTTAAAGGCACACAAATGAATTTGTTCCTATTAAGAGAAAAGGCTTATTCTAGATTATTGAAACAATGGAATATGAGAATATGCATTTGATAAGCAAAGTAATCATTAAAAATGGAAAATGCCAATTAATCTTTTGAGCTTATTAGATTTTTCTTAAATGTACCTTAGATTTGTTCACTTGGAAATAGCTTTGATAACTTTTCATCTAGATATATAAATACTTTCATTTACTCTTGACTTCTACAGCAAGTTTGATTATGCATACAGAATGGTTTAGGAGTTTATTCGGCATAACATGAAAGAACAGATAACATGAAAATTTGGAAGAGATTTTTGTTCAAATGTATAATTTTCTAACATGAAAACTCAAGTTACTGGCACGAACTTTTGTACTTTTTTCCTCATTTTATATATTCGTAATGGTGGAATTTCAAATATTTCCTTTGGGAAATTGATAGTTACTGAGTGAGTCATAAAATTTGTGGGCATATGGCCCATCGTTTCTTTTCTTTTTTAAAAAAGATTTTATTTATTCATTCATGACAGACGCACAGAGAGAGAGAGAGAGAGGCGGAGACACAGGCAGAGGGAGAAGCAGGTCCCATGCAGGGAGCCCAATGTGGGACTCGATCCCGGGTCGATCCCGGGACTCGATCCTGGGACTCCAGGATCACGCCCTGGGCTGAAGGCAGGCGCCAAACTGCCAAGCCACCCAGGGATCCCTGGCCCATAGTTTCTATGTGTTCCTGTACGCTGATAGGGCCTTTTTTAAATTATTATTAGCAACAAACTAAATCACCATATGAAAAAGATAGGCAGTTCCCAAATTGGCATAATTAGTTTTATCAAAGGTCAAAATGGCAGTACTTTGTTCTAGAAATCATAAAATGTTGCTATTATCATATAAGGAATAAGATATAAAAGAGATGTAGACTTCATGAAATAAATGTAAAAGAATTTTATGTGAAGATTAATGTGTAAACCTTTTGTGTATAAAGAAGCAATGGATCAGGGACACCTGGCTGGCTCAGTTGGAAGAGTGTGCAACTCTTGATCTCAGGATTGTGGGTTCAAGCCCCATGTTGGATGTAGAGATTACTTAAAAATAAAATCTTTAAAAAAAAAAAAAAAAAAGCTATAGGGCACCTGAGTGGCTCACTCAATTAAGTGTCCAACTCTTGGTTTCAGCTCCAGTCATGATCTCAGAGTTGTTAGATCAAGCCCAATATTGGGCTCTGTGCTTGGTGGAGAGTCTGCTTGAGATTCTTTCCCTCAGTCCCTCCCTTGCATGGTCTCTCT